CATATTGCTGCAGTTTCTGTAAATATGGAATTTAGGAGACAGAGTACTTTGTTCTATTTTTTTTTAATGTACTATGATTTAATTTATTTTCTTTCTGGATTTACCGATGTATATTTTAGTATTTTGGAAAAGCTAGACCTTTTCCAGTGTTCCATATGTGAACTTGATTTCAACATGGCTGAGARATAAATGAATGCATTTTTTTCATGTCTTCCAAAGAACAGGATTTAAAACAGCTTTAAAAATTATTTTGCCTATTGAGAAGCATTCATGTTTTTGTRTCATCTAATTTTCATTGCATGTTATTAAATTATACAACTCACTATGTCATCAGGATTATGCAAGTAATTATATGAGCATAAGAAATACATTCTCACTTCTATTTACCTCTGAAAGGAAATACTGCAAGAATTCTCTCATGAATCTGGAAAAAGCTTGTCATGTAGTAATGGCTCACAACTGCCATAAAATAATTTTGACTGTCTAGTGTAATCAAGGTTTGCTAAATTTTGCTGACACAAAGCAAAGTCAGTGTGGAGGGATGAAGGCTTCACAGAGAGAATTGACTYGTGCAACAAAGGCAGTGAACTTATTCCAGATTTACATTTTGTAAAGGCATAGTAAACCAACAATTTTGTAATTTTTCAGCATCAAAGGAACTGTTTAGAAAGAGTTTTTCTGTAGACATCAAGAGTAGCTCTTAGAATTCTGTAAAATGCCGTAAGTGTTGGATTTTCCAGCCTGGTACTACTCTGGGATCTATTGAAACTTTTTACCCTGTAATAGACATTGATCTCTGCATATTTCAAAAACTACATATTTATGGGCCTTAGAACTCCTTTACTCTAAAGTAGAGGAGCAATTAATAGTCACCTTTTTCTGGTTTTAAATATTAGTTTTTCCACAAAAAAAGTTATACTTCAGTTACAGAGATGTGTAATACAGTATTCTTTTATGAAACTTTAGTATTTTAAACCAGAAAATATTATACTCCCTTGTGGTGATGAATATTTATAAATCAACATTTATGCTAACAATGTTTGCCACTTCTGCACATTTAGACAAATTATTTCACTGTTTTCTTACTTAGCAAGCCCTGAATATTGAAGGGGTTTTTCTGGGTTTTGTTCCATTCTTACTTTTTCCACTGAGCACATTGGAAAATTTCTGAGCTGAAAGATTGAAAAATGGCTTTGAAGTATTACACAAGAACATTTTGCTGCTTTTCCTTACATTCAATTTCAATCAATTGCTATCTCTTGAAGTAAAAAAAAATTAAAATATTAAAAATATTTTACCTGGTTTCTCCTTGCACCTCAGAAAACCTTCCTCTTATAAAAGTTTTGAGAAAGCAATTTTTTTAAGCCTGGGAACATACATGGGACCATGTAGGATAGAGATTGTCAGAACAACTGTGCTCCAAAGGCTAATGATTTACTTACAAGTGATGCAAATTTTTAGGATAGACTCAGTGAGAAATCATACTCAATATGCCAGTGATGACTTGAAATAGGTATGTTACTGATTACTTGCAAAATGACAGCTATTGTTTATCTGCTAAACATTTTGTAGCTGCATGGTTATTTTAGGATGGATTAAGATTTTTTTTTATGTGACTTCATGTCAAATTATAAATCTAAGCAGATTTTAACTCCTGTTTCCTGTAGCACATTTACAAATTAATTCCACTTCTCCCACGGTGTGCTGACACATGAACGCACTTACAGAGCTGCATTACACCAGCAAATGCCCATTCAATTGCTACAAGCCTATGAATATTGATATTTGGCTTTATTCCATGATGTGTTCTTTGGAGCACCATCCTGAAACTTGGTTGTTCCTTCCCTTCATACTAATTTTAAAACCATAACAATCATTTTATGTTATTAGCATTATGGAAGCAGAAAGTAGTACTTAGGTTGGGGCTTTGACAAATRCAAATGTGTTTTATATAATTGAGATAGCAAACAGGATTTGACTATTTATTCAAAATATTTGCAAACAATTCCAACATTTCAATTTCTTGTAAATCTACATGACTATACAAAAATAAATGTAGTGATATATTAGCTCTTTTTAAATAACATTATAATTCTTCTTATGTAGAGTGATTTACTAATCCTSCAATGGTGAATTTCATCTTATTATTGCCAGAAGGGATTCCCAATAATATCTATGCAACTCATTCAATAACTGAAATTTCAGACTGGTTAACATCCAGAAGTAATCAGTGCTTCTTTACTTAGACTAAATTACTACTAAGCATGTGGAATGAACATTGTATTAACAAAAATTGAGTTGGTGTATTGTTTAGATGTATGAAAAAAAGCTTTTTCATGTTCAGTGATTGATTTACTTTTGCAAAGATTACTGAATTTGTCCGTTCAAAAATCAAATAATTTTTAAACCTGGAGTTGAAATTTAGCTGTTGCTGTCAGGTAATTGCCATTATGCACAGCTTTCTATCCCCTTTTCAGCATATCTCTTGAGGTTAGACTCTGTATGGAAGAACCTAGAAACAAACATTCTCAGTGTGAAACTACTCTGCCYGTGTAAGGCCCCTTTATCTATGTTTTGTCCCAGTCTCTCCTTTTTTCCACCCAGAATCAACTTATATATTTGTATGGGCCATTAACAGTCATGTTCCATCTCCCTTTAATTTCTAAAATCCTTAGAAAACTTACCTAACAAAATTCTTTTCCCTAAGTCTGCYCCTTTGACATTCCAGCAGCACTCTACGGTAGCACACTCCGACTGGTTGTGCCTCCAAAAGCCTTCTTCAGACTTCTGCTTCCTCGGGTCTTTCCTACTTTTGATATCACCTGTTTCTTCTGTAAAATCTCGATCTCCTTGTACTTTTTCAGTGACACCTCCCTGAACTTTATCTCCTGATTTTATGGCCTCTTTCTTCTTGTGCATTGTATATTTACTCTTGCAAATCTCAGGAGCTGATACTGTCTTTGATTTTCTGCAGACATTTCCTTATCTATTTTATCTTGTCTGTTCACACAACTTCAGTTGGTCCTTTGTGCCAATGTGCCTTGCAAAAGCCCACTTTTTTTACCTTATTTTCCTTTACTCAGCCCAAATGTCAGATGTTGTCTGTGACCTTTTCTTTTGAATGTGTCATTCTAAATACAAATTTAACAAGGTTTTTTCTGCTTTTMTTCTGTATAAAAGTTTCCATTGAAAAGAGCCCAATCAACCAATGGGAGAAGCAGACTTTGTTCTAAGACTTTCAGATAAGAAAAATGAAAAAAACCAMATGACTGAGAAGTCTGCCAGTCTTTAAGAAATGCTATGATAGCYAGCAAATTTCATACTCCTTTGGTTTGGTTTGGTTTGGTTTTTAAGTCAATTTGCCAATGTCCTTAAAGGCTTCAGTTTTTCAATATCAGTAATTTTCTTTCAACAATATATATGTTTGCCCTACTTGCAAGTTTACTGTAGAAATACACTCAGCTTTTTATCTGTTTAATAATATCTGTAATAATTTTCTGTTGTGGAAAGCAACTCACCATCATTTCTTCCTAAAAGCAAGCTCTTTAATCACATTGATTCATTCAGAAACTCTTTCTTAAGTTGTTTTATGGGAGTTTTATTTTAKYATMCTAACTTACAATGAGCYACTTTTTGGTRAACTGGTTTACCAAGAGTTCTATCRTTCTATTGGAGGAGAAAATTATTTAACTGAAAATTCTGTTCACCAAATCTGGACTCCAGTGTGGTACGGCTGGGTCAGTGCTCTTTCATTTCTGCATATGAACCTTTTATAAGACATGAACAAATGCAGGAATTTAGTGGTGCTACAGGAATTCAGGTAGGAAAATAAGGAATTAAATTATTCAGTGACTACTTTTAGATCTTTAATCTGTATACTAAAGTATTAAAACAGGTTACGTAGATGTAGAGTTCCACTGCTAAAGCCTCTTTCAAAATTCCCCTATTTAATTTGACTCATTTCACAAAGCTTTCTTTAGTTTTTATTGGTAATCTAGTTGCTTTTATTTTGTATTGTTTTGTTGTTTGTTTTTTTTTATTGTGGCAATTTTGAACTCTTATGTTTGAAAACAATTATTTTAGGACATATTTTCTCAACTTTGTTCCAGAATTATTATAAAAATGTGTACAATATACAGTAACCACAGAATCACATGATATTTGAGGCAGGAAGATATCTCAGGAAATTATCTGGTCTAATGCCCCCTTCTCAAAGCAGGGTAAGATTAAATGCATTGCCCAGGACTACATGTAGATGTATGCTGAATAATAAGGATGGAGACTCCACMACTTAWCTGGGCAGTCTGYTCCAGTGTTTGACTCCTCACAAAGSAAAAAAAAGGCTTTTTCTTAACAGAATTATGTGTTCTGGGCTGGTCTGCCTGCTGGCAAAGATGCCTTCACCCTCGAAATAATGTGAATTAAAAGTTGGACAACACCTTTTGCTGCCACAGATTAAACTAAGATGCATGTTWTGATTCAACTGGCTGGCTTTTTCAGGCTTCTTAATAATCCTTAGGTCCATGTGAATTTCTAAGGRGACAGATTTATTTTGATTATGCATCATTTGTTGGAGGGAGGAGCTGTTCTTTTCAGTGTGCCAGAAGTGAAATACCATGTGCCAAACATTTTACATTCCAGATTTTTTATGTTGAAAATGTCTGTTTGGAGCAGAAATGGTCTCTTGTAAGAAATTCTGCAATGTTCACTTTGATTTATTCTGCTTAATTACTGTCTCWGCTACTTCATGATTGCTCAAGCTACTGCAGTGAATATTCAGGAGACAATTTTTCATTTTTAAA